GAGAGAGAGAGAGAGAGAGAGAGAGAGAGAGAGGTTACCTGAACTGTTGGTGGTAACTGACAGGAATTTGCTGTGTTGTTTTCTTCGTGCAGGTTGTTCTCCCTCTTCAGAGAATCGGCACAATTGTCCCGTCATCAAACCCTCAAAACCCTTCTGAGAAATACATGGAAATTGCTATGTCTGATGGAGCGAAGTTCTGGTTCCTCGGTGTGTTGAGCTTTGAGAAGTGTGTAAATGCTGTTCAAGAATCAGTTGCAATAGCCTGTTCTGGTGGTGCTCAATAGATTAATACTTGATGTGTAAGATGCCTGTCTTCAATCCTCTTATCCAGAAGCAAAGACTGCCGTGCACTCGGTCTTGTTATTTGTAATGTCATACTGCAAACTAGTTTTCCTTTCCTTTTCTTTTCTTTTCTTTTCTCTTCTTTTTAGGAAATGCTAGTAGTCCGAAAACAGTGTCTGCCATGACCGTGGCATGTGGCTTTTGAAGCAGTTGTGCGAACTACCGATCGGCAAAGAAATAGTCCCGCTACGGTAGTGCACAGCATACTTGTAGGATGCTGGTTGTCAAAAAGTAGTATCACCTTCTTTGCAGCACAGTATTGCCCAGTTGGCAGAGCACATGTGTTGCTTTGTCACTCCATGTTTCTGACAACATGCTTTTGCATGTGGCCTGCGGCTTTACTGTCAAGTCTACGATACCAATATGTATTATCACTGTTATGGGATTGTTGTTGGATGGGCTTCCTAATGACTCTTATGCAAAAACAGTAAAATGCCAGGGAGGAACCTGCTGTGGTGGCATAGGCTTGCCATTGCACACTTTGTGGCACTCTGACAAGCCGAATGCGATGTTGACTAGTGTAGAATGTGTGACAAGCACAATGGGATGGGATTTGTTAAACAGTAAATTACTTAATTTGTCAATGATAACCATGATTGTTTGCAATGCTGGTCAGGAGAAAAACAAAAAAAAACAGGACAGAGTGCCATGCCGAGGCACTGACTGCACATGCTGTGCAGCTGTAGGCAACCGTCTTTTTCAAGAAAGGTAGACGCTCAAGAGCATAGAAATTTGTGGAGTCGTAATATGGACTCATGTAGTGGAGTAGGGGACTATGGAGCAAGTTACAGTGCTGCTGCGGGTTGTAGTCAGATCGTGTGCAGTTTGCAGGCAAGGAAACTGACGTGCTATATACGAAGCAGGTCCTGCCAAGTGTGCATTTTATGGTACTCCAGCTGATCAATGGTCTTGGTGTGGCATATGTGCTTGCCGATGGACTCTCGGAAAGGCGCTTGCGGAAGCCTTCTTAGCTTATCACGCTGGTGGAGCTGGTCAGCGGCATGCTGATACTCGAAAGCGTGCATTTGATGGTACACTGGCCGATTGACAGTCTTGGTGCCACATATGCGCTTTTGGCAAAGTACTCTCGTAAAGGCGCTTGTGGAAAACTTCTTACCCTGTCACGCTGGTCGAGCTAGCCGATCAATGGTCTTGGTGTGGCATATGTGCTTGCCGATGGACTCTCGTAAAGGCGCTTGTGGAAGCCTTCTTAGCTTATCACGCTGGTCGAGCCGGTCAGCGGCATGCCGATACTCGAAAGCGTGCATTTGATGGTACACTGGCCGATTGACAGTCTTGGTGCCGCATATGTGCTTGGCAAAGTACTCGCGTAAAGGCGCTTGCGGAAAACTTCTTACCCTGTCACGCTGGTCGAGCTGGTCGGCAGCATGCGGGTACTGCAACGCGTGCATTCGATGGTACTCTAGCTGATTAACGGTCTTGGTGTGCAGTTGTGCTTGGTACTGGGCTCTCGTAAAGGCGCTTCCGGAAGACTTCTGAGCCTGTCTTCCTGGTCGAGCTGGCCAGCAGCATGCAGGCAGAGACGACTGGCTAGTCTATAGTGGGCAATGACTGCTTACAGACTCGCTACACCTAATGTACATGTAGATTTATAATTGTAGTGGACTTGTTCGTTGACCTGGTTTTGGTTGTGATTGCGATTGTGACAAGGCAATTAGCTCTTGTATTCGATCGTAGGAAATCAAGCTCTTCTTGCTCGTTGTTTATACAAGTGCAAAAGTTACGAGGGTCGAGAACCTTCAGATACACACGTGTGATGCAGGGGAGAAAGGCTGCTAGAGTTGACGTGACTCGTGATCGAACTTTGGAGAAAGGCTGTCAAAACTGTGAGATGACGAAAGCAGGGGGGCTGTTGGAATTCTCATGATGATGGTTTTGGCTGTTTGAAATTGCCTTGGCTGTTTGTCAAGGTCTTTTATTCCTCTTGATGGCTGTCCTTTTTTCTGTGTAGGCCTCTGGGCTCATCATCGTTGGGTATTTTAATGCAAAACTCGGCGGGTACTATCTGTCGTTAATCGCTGCTATTGCTAATGCCACCACTGAAGGTGATTCCGGCTTTGCGCCTTGCCCTCTGTAGGCCTCTGGGCTCATGATTGCTGGGTATTTTAATGCCAAACTCGGTGTTCTTGTCGGGCGGGTACTATCTGTCGTTAATCGCTTCTATTGCTAATGCCACCACTGGAGGTGATTCCGACTTTGCACCTCGCCGCACCACTTGCCAGATTCCAACATTCTGGACGTATCAGCACACATTCCATGTTCCAAATTCCAATTCATTCAGAATGATGGCTTTCAGTGAGTGGTGCTGCGAGGCCCTTTGACTCCGTGCTGCAGTTGCAGTTCACTTTGCGCTCCTCCGACCATGAAACGTGTCCTTCGCTGTTGAATCCCAAGTCTAGATTGGTTTGCCTTCATCCCGTCTCTTTCTTTTTTTTTTCTTCTTCTGCATGCCTTCATTTTCGTATCTTCTCTCTCTCTCTGCTTTCATTTCCTCCCATCCCTTCTGCAAACAGTCGCCCAAACTTTGAGAGTTCTGCTGTGGACAGTGCCCGAGGTAACTATGATGATAGTATATGATGACACATTCCCATCTTCTGTTAAACAGCCGGTACATCCAAGGCTCTTTTTTTCTGGGGGCAGACTTGTGCTGCCCAGCGCCTGCCCGAAAAAGAATGAAGTGGCGTGGCACAAAAAATTTCGTTGTGGCTGGCGTGTGGCATGTCCAGCCAAACAGATCCAGTAGCCCGAGCCCCGAACGCCAGCCACAGCACATACGCAACTACGGTCGAAGAAATAGCCAGGCGGTGTACTGGTTGTTGAAGTCCGATCAGCTCTGTGCTTTCTATTGGTATGTGACACTGCAGATGTCTTGTTTTTCCTTTTTTTTTTTTTTTTTTTTTGGGGATGTCTTGCTTCTCTTGTAGCCCTGTAACTTCTTTTTGGTGTGTCGGTTATGCAATGTACGTGGACCAGTTCTGACTTGACTGAGCAATGTGGATTTCATTTGATCTCATTTGACGCAATCTAACTGCATGCTTCCGCTGGACGGCTACGATTTTTTTTGAATGTATGTGACCAGGTGCAGAGAGCCCTAGTGTGAGGATACCACAAGCAACTCAATGTTGGATGTTTAAACTTCAAAGCGTTTGAGAAATTTTGAGTATGTTTGCCACGCGTTTTTCTCCGACGCGATGTGCATGCGGCGGGGGCAAAATGGCTGGTGGTGCCAAATGGAGGCCCACTGATTTTTAAGTCGGTTGCTTGGATGGCCAATCTGGCGGCCTCAGTAGTCTCTCCCGTCCGCAGATATTAATGTGAGCCCAGGGGTTGGTCATCCCTTTTTGTCCCCCGCACGGTTATCAGACCCCTGCCTATGTTTGCAGTTGGTCCATTGGAAGGACATGCTACAGGTAAAGGTTCTGGCCTTCGTGGCATAGGGGCCTGATTTTCTTGAGGGAGTGGTGGTCTGACTCTGACCTCTGAAAAGTCTGCAAAGGCCAACGGCGAAGATGATCGAAGTAAAGAGGACACGTGCGTCAACATATGCTTGCCTGCTGTTTGGAATCTGTGTTTTCTCTCTCATCCCCCCCCTCTTTCCCCCCCCACCCTAACCCTCTGTCTTTGAGTCCATCATAAGGAATCATTTGATGCAACAACCCTTGGTCCAGATGTTGCTGTTTTCCAAGGAGAAAGAAAAAGTAGGGGGGAAATAAGAAAAGGGTGATGATATCACTGCTATGGTGTGATATTAGTGATAGGGGGACTCGCTCCACTAGACAACACTCTACATGTAACTGGAGCTTACAACCGTTCCGAGACATTCAAAATGTTGAACTCCTCTGAATGCACCTGGTCCAGAAAGCCGTCCAAATGCATGTAGAATGTGTGAGTAGTGGAGCGAGGCCCACAATGTGATATCAGTGATATGTGTTCTGCAGCCCACGAATTCCAACCATCCTGGCTCTTTCAGTGGATAGTGGCTTATCCATCCATCCTGGCTCTTTCAGTGGTTAGTGGCTAAGCCATCCATCCTGGCTCTTTCAAGTTGTTGTTTTTTTTTTCCTTTTAAGCCCAACCAATTCAATTACCTGTCAAATCTGGACAGAAGGGCCTTTCAGGCCTTTTTTATTGTCATTATAGTATTATGGGAAACCCTGTAGCAGACACATCCGTGCTCAAGCCTCCAACGAGGGAACATGCAGGAGCTGCACCCACCAGCAGGTGGGCGATACTGGCCAGGGGTCAGCCAGTAGCATCAGGACCGAGCTTCTTCGATGGGCCAGTCACTCTGCCTCCCCTCCAGTCCCCTTCCCCTGTGAACATCAGCAGTCTCTGCTCATGCCGGGAGCTGCAACCACCAGCAGGTGCGATACCTGCTACAGCAGGTGGGCAGTACCGGCCAGCGGTAGCATCAGGACCAAGGTTCTTCGATGGGCCAGTCACTGTGCCTCCCCTCCAGTCCCCTCCCCCTATGAACAGTCACGGCTCAATGCCACTCGGCGGGACCAACGGCATATCTTTAGGTGGTGGGCGCCAAGCTTGCCCAGGAAGGTACACGAGGCCAGTGGGGATTGAACCCAAGACCTCCTGAATGCCACTTGCGCGCCTTACCGACTAAGCTAGGCCGCTGGATGGTTAGTGGTTTTCCTGATGCTGTTAGGTAAAATCACCGAAATCGTCGAAGTTTGGCATATAGCTAAGGTGAATGTTTCTTTTTTTCGTTTTGTTTTTTAGCATCCACAGTGGTTGCTACCAGCTGTGACAGGAGCAGTCTCCACTAGCTAAAGTGAATGTGTACATGCAAAAAGTAAAAAGTTACAAAGCTGAAACTGGATGGGGAAAAAAAGGGAACAACATGAAAAGAGGTTACCCTCGGTGCTTCCTTCTGGCCCACTATCTGTATGTTCTTCCTTATGTTTTGCTTATGTACCTTTATTCTATACCACCTTCTTCCCCCAGATATAACAAACGGTTATTGTAAAAGTGTATTCCGGGTATCTTTCAGTCTAAAACAGCTATAATGACCGTAAGTTGTATGTGATGGAAGAAGGTAGTGTCACGATGTTTGGTGTAACAACTGGGCACCCCTCGTGGAATGTTTGGCAGTTTGGTTTGGCTGGGAAGCTTGGCATAAGCATGTTCCTGTCAGGATTGAACAATGTCGAGCCTGAAAGCCTGCCTTTTGCCCTCCATTTTGGCTCTGTGTGGCCTTGATACATGCGCTGTAAAAGTAGAGAGATGCAAATGCAGCCAAGGATCAGCAAAGTGATGATAAGGATTCAAATGGACAATGCAGCATCAGTGAAGCATCAACAAGCATTGTACATCCATATACATACAAAATAGCATAATGTAGCGCAGCATAAGTCTCAAAGATATGACCTGACCAGTCAGATACTGACGCGACTGAACCCATCACACACCACAGATGTGAGAGAGGAGGGAGAGCGCACACGGAAGAAAGGTCCCTCCTTCAACACGCACATGGGGAGATACCACGGATGAGGTGAGGGAGGAGGAGCAAGAGGAAGATGGAGATGAGGGAGAAGGCTAAGATCACGATAGCGAAGTCCAAAAATAGTCTCCCTGTCGAATGTCCAATCAATGTTCGCTGCTATGATATCGAATCAGATCCTGGGCCTCATAGCCCGGCATAACCTCTGCCTGCAACCTCTCTCTCTCTCTCTCTCTCTCTCTCTCTCTCTCTCTCTCTCTCTCTCTCTCTCTCTCTCTCTCTCTCTCTCTCTCTCTCTCTCTCTCTCTCTCTCTCTCTCTCTCTCTCTCTCTCTCTCTCTCTCTCTCTCTCTCTCTCTCTCTCTCGGAAGAAGAAGAAGAAGAAGAAGGGGGGAAAAAAGAAGAAAAAGAAGTGGAGGGCGAGAACAGGAAGAAGAAGATGCCGTCCTCCCGGCTGTCTCAACTGTAGGTAACTGCCGCGATGGACTAACGAGCTGCGGTGCTCCTCAGCGCTGCAGGTCGCTGGCGCAGATACCAGCTATGGCGCCCAGGTAAGCTGCTCTCTCCACACAGGTATGGTCACCTCCTCTCTCTCACTCTTTCTCTCACTCTACCCCTATGCAGCACAGTGCTGAAAGTAGCGCGCTGCGCCAACAGCGTGATGTCCCAAAGAAGTGGGGACTCCTGTCTGCCCAGGAACTGGGCTGGTGCAGCTATAAGTGGGGCTTGGGTGCTGTGCCGACGACCTGCATTTGGGCCGCGAGATCATCAGTCCGATCCACGGTCCAGATCGCAGGAAATAGTCTTGCTCCTGGGCCTGGCCTAAAACGGTCTGCCTGGGTCCCTACCTGCTGATGCAGCAGGGAATGTCCGCTACCGAACGAAACCGAACCTGGTCAAAACGTGGCCTTGGTCCGACAGACACTGTCTGTTCGGAAATGTTGAAAGTCTGAAACGATGCCTTGAAACAGGCGAAAATAGAACCAGGCGAAGGTCAGCAATAAATAAATGGTAAACAAATGAACAAGTAAATGCTGAAAACGAGACCTTGGATGACACCAAAATGGTGCCTTGGCCTAGCGCCTGGTTGTGGGCCTCTTCGTCGCGTGCCTGGAATGGGTATGCGGCCTAAGGGCCCTCAGCAACCGTCGGGCCCCCAAAATGGGGCCTGTGTGCAGGCGGAGCATGCAACACCTCGCTCCTTATGAAGTCAAGCTGGGGCAACGGCAAAGCTGATGATCCGATGGTGGAACCTGGACGCAAGTACGGCGTCGAGCCGAAGGTGCCGGCTTGCCTTGCTGCTTGTGTTCGTAATGTGCGAGGATGTCCACGGCTGTAGGCTGGAGTTGAGTAGGGATGAACCAATGGTCGGCCATATGCCTACAATAGGAAAAACACACCAAGTCTTAGTATGTCATTTTGTTGCCGCTGTGACGCTGCGAAAAATGTCGTTAACCTCCTCGAAACCATCTAGAGAGGGTTGCTCGAAACCATCCAGGGCGGGTTGCGACCATCGCCCGCGAGAGTCATTGCGGTTTAAGAGGCAACTTCGAACAACGAAAGATCGGGTAGACGGTCAAGTGGGCGGGCACTTGAATTACAAATGAGGGCCCCTCCGGTGCGTCGCCAGTGGGCGCTATAATGCGCCAAGGCCCCATCCGCTTTGGAAGGAGCTTGCGAGAGATATCTTGCTCGAGGCTAAACTCCGTAGCGGAGACCCAAACGAGGTCGCTTGCATGGAAAGCGCAAGGCGAGTGGCTTGTCAGCCCATGTGCGCTGAGTCTTCGACATCTGGTCCTATGCTTGACAAGGAGCTCGTGTATCTGTCGAATGAAGACAATGTGGTCGTCGCTCGCGATTGGCCTTGGAATGATGCTGTCCAATGGCGATGTGACCAGCGAGCCATGCTCGAACTGAAAGGGCAACACCTCGATAGCCGGATGAATAGACGAGGTATATGTCAACTTCACATCCGACAACCGCTCAACCCAATTTTTTTAATCGGGGTGGATGAGAGTGCGAAGAAGAACCCTTGCGGTTTGATGCACTCTCTCCATTTGACCATCGGTGTGCGGGTGGCGAGCCGGACTCCGCTTGAGAGATGAGCCCCATCGTCTGACAAGCGCCAACCAAAAGCCGGACATGAACCGAGTGTCATGGCCGCAAACGATCTCCTTGGGGTATAACCCGTGGTTCGAATCCATCTGGCGTCGAGAATCTCGGCCAGTTCCGGCGCCTTGGCGTCATAAAAAAGCAAAAACATGGCGAACTTGGTGAATTGATCAACCATAGTAAGAATCTCATCCACGCCGGATCAATGCTTTGGAAATAATCCAATGATGTCTATGGCAATTGATTCTCGTCGTCCTAAAGGTACCGGCAATGGTTGCAACTTGTCAAACGGGCGATAATTGCGGGATTTGTAACGCCGACAAAACTCGCATGAATCGCAATAACGTGTGACGTTGTCGAGAAGACCGTGCCACCAAAAGCGCTTGCGAAGGCGGCCAATCGTACGAATGACACCAAAATGTCTGGTGGCGGCAACATCATGGAACTCGTCAAGAAGTCACGTATGTAAGTGTGGGTCACTAGGCATGCAAAGATCTTCTCTCACGAGTAGATGAGCAAGAAGCCCTCCTAGATCTGATAATGCGGAGGTGCCACATTTGGAGAGGAGCAATTTGTAAGTCGGGATGGGTTCGGTAGCCTTGGATAAAGTTGTCCTGCAAGTCTTTTGTCAATCTCGAATGTCGAGTGGACCGCGGTACACAGGTCCAGGCGCCTCAAAGAAACGCTCGCGAAACGATTTGACTTTTTCGGGATGTGATCGGGGAAGAAGTGAAAGAGATCGATGAAGGTCATCCAACGGGCAATGGTGCTATTGACTATGTCTTGCGACTTGTAGAAGACCAACAAATTGTTATCCGTGACCCATCGGAATTGACGCTGGTTGAGGAGAAAATGTCGGTCACCACTTGAGCGCGTGTTCAAAGGTCAATAATTCCTCCTTCCATGCATCGTCAATCGAGTGCATGGCAGGCACGTCCTTGCTAAAGTAATGAACGAAGTGTCAATCCAAG